GGTCACTTTGTTAAAACTCAAAAACTACAGCCTTGTTATGCCTTATATGTGGCTCTGTGATACGATAGCTCTTTATGAGTCAATCAAATAATAAAAGGTCAAAAGAGCGCTTTTTTTATCGAAGCCATTTTTACGGTTGAGAACATTGTAACAATTTTTGTCGATTTTAGTATTATGTAGTGTAGTTAGTTTTTATAAGTTGATTTTTCGAAGTGTTCCTAATTATTGGCAAAGCTTGTTTGCTATTTTTTTCTTAATATATTAGTTATAGTATACGACTTTGTGTTTATGTCTCAGTCCTCCTCCTAGTTTTGGTTTTTTAGGGCAGCAAAGCTTAAAGGACACGTGTGTGAAACTGGTAGGTACTTCTTATAAATTGTTTTCATATAACAAATAACTTATAAATTATGTCATGAAGCATGATTAAAGTAATAAGTTTTGTTTTGAGAGTCAAGAAAATTTAAAATTAAGTTTCAATTTCCCGCATGTATTTTTTTTTCTATCCAAAGGATAGTATCAAAGAGCAATGGCAGACTTTCATACATAAAATTAGTTGAGAAGAGATGGTAGCGTCTATATACCAAAAATATCTTAAAATGTTAAGCGTCAGTTCCTTAATAACTCTGTCAAAGAATTTTGTACTGAGAAGGCGTCAAAAAAAAGATATTTACATTTGAACCTTTTTAGGTTATGTCCTATGACACTTGGAAAAAGTCATGCTTCCTGTGGTTGTTTGATGTTAGCTTAATACATAATTGAGTTTTTAGATTATTGTATCTCTATTATATATTTGCATACTATAAATGTATATTTCTGGCATGGCTCCAGGGCTTTTGTACCATAGTGACATTCTCAGAAAGGCTAGAACCCAGAGCCGTAAAGCCAGTAAAAAAACTGACATTTTATTTTAGCTAGTGTTGGCATAACATTAATTAGTACTATGATTGACATAATGTATTATTGTAGGAAATTCTTTGTAAGAGACTTATTCTCAGCCATATTACTTTTATTTTTGTTATTACTGATAGTACAGTTATTACTAATAATAACTTAATATACGAATATTTTGTTTGTTCTGTTGGTAGTGTTACAAAGTGTATACGAAAACAGTATAGATATAATAAATGGCAACATTTGAATAGAGTAAAATGATTTCAGAGGAGTTTTGGCGGGAAATTGCCCGGCGGCGGTTTGCTGCTCCTGTATTATTGTTTAAATAATGGTTTGAAGTGGACTTTGATATGTAAAAGTGTTGCGATTTTGTGTATTAAGTGTCTACGCATGTGAACTATTAGTGGAAAAAGTGAAACAAGTGCTCTGATGGTGATGGATTCTCAAGATAAGCTGTTTGTTTGCATAGGCACCTTTAGATACCATCGCCAGCTATCAACTGTCTGCTGGATCAAGTTGCCGCCAAAATCTCCCAAGAACTGCACAATGTGACGCATCAACATATTGTGAAGCAGTATACTATGAAGGAGTGGGGAAATTACAATAAACCGAATAAAAATACTTAAGACTTGGCCTAAAGGTCTAGATACCAGGCCATAAACTCCAAAAAAAAATGATTTCAGTTTGGCCTAAAGGTCTAGATACCAGGCCATAAACTCCACAAAAAAAATGATTTCAGTCATTTGATATTCCCAAAAATGTTCGTTTTTTTCTGTGGCTTTAATTAAAATACATTTTTATTTGAAAAATCATAGAAAACTAATAAAACTCATTTTATATATAATTTATTTCTAGACGCTATAATTTTTGTCAACTATTTTTCTGCCATTGCTCTTTAATTTAATTAAAAGCAACTTTTGTTTAATTATTTTCTGCTAAAACGATTAACAAGTTATCAAAATTATATACATGATATGTAATAATAATAAACATTTGTAATATATATAATGTACTGACATATACATGAAATAGATATTAATAGTCAAATTGGTGTAATAAATAGAAAAGGGATAAATCTAATAAATGCAATTTACATATTATTAAATTATTAATATTAAAATGAGTAAAATTAAGTAGTAGTTTAAACAATTAACTTTGGACAAATTTAATTTTAATTTCTTACGCCGAAAATAAAATGATATTTTTAATATTTGATAATATTAATTAGATATAAATTTAATACAATAGCTTTTTTATGTAGATCATAAGAGTACACAAAAGTACATTATTTATACGTCACCACTGCACTGGTTCGAAAAACATCTTCAACGCAGCGTGTAATAAAGCAAGTGCAAGTAATGAATGAGTAGGGTTTATTATTATTTGCTTAGTTGCAGTTGGCAGTTGCAGGACGCGCATCGCCGTGGGAACTGACCGCAGATGGGGTGGATAAGGATAATCAATTGCATGCACTTTATCCACGGAGAAGCTGATCACTTAGCTTTGTTAATTAAAACATTATTCGATGCAAGTTAACGTCAATACATTACCGTTTTTAATTTAATGAAACAGTTTATACAATTCGCGAGTTATAATAACTTAGGTTTCCTCATGACGTTTTAGTTCACCGCGGAGTACGTGGTAAATAAGCATTTAAAAATGTAATTAGCTCCTGAGCTACCAAGGCTCTTACTCACGACTTGAAGTGGAATGTAAACCAATATTAAATTTATAATATACTACGAATACCATCTTACCTACTTAAGAGAAATTTCGTAATTTCTGGAATTTGGGCGGTAGAGTTCTTTTTGTACGTAGGAATCCATAGGAAGATATAGGGTAGGTACAACCCTCCTACTCCTGCTCCAAGCAGAAGTATAGGTGATATTGTGTTTCTATTTCAAGGGTATGATGAGCCAATATAATCACATTACTAGGACTATATACCTACCCAGTCAAATTCCTATGTACAAAAGTAGTGATACTGTCACAGTATATCATAGACTTTCGGGACATTCTATTTTTTTTTTGATAAAGCTGAAGTAACAAACGAACTTACAATCCACCTGACGGTAACTGGCTACTGCGGCCCGTGGACACCAGCAAAAAAAACTTCAAACAAAGAAGGCTACATGCGTTGTCAGATAGAATGCCTCTCAATCTATAACCATACAGACTCTCTTTAACTTTCAGACTGGGACACTGCAGTGGAGCACTATTTTTGGCAGTAGAAATAGCAATCAAGAGGGTGGTACTTACCTTACGACGGATTTCTAGACAGAAAAAGAGCCCTACCACCCAATAAAATCTAGCCTGTAATAATATAAATTAATTAACGTCGCTCGCAGTCATTTTTAATCCTGTTACTTTTCACTGAAAAATGGCTTAAGAATTTAAACAACAGCTTCACGACTGGGTATTGTACTCGCAATTTTTCATTAAAAGCGTTTAATTATTCGTCGTTGACGCCGCAAAGGGGCGAACCTCAATTTTTCAAAAAATTACAGGTATATTATACTATATTAGAGTAGATTAGATTATATTATTATAGTATATTAGACTTAATGGAAAACTATAAATAAGATTAAATTTCTGATGAAAAAAGCTAGTAATCGGGGAATAATAAATGTTTTCTGCTCTACTGTAATTTTTTGAAAAATTGCGGTTCGCCCCTTTGCGGCGTCAACGACGTATTAATTTAGGCGAGTTTTTCTTAGTTGCATTATGCTAGTACCTAGAAGTTTATACATGGTAGAGCCATGCTGTAGCTATATAAGTAGTATAGTTGTAGCACGAATGGGTCGCCTCGACCGTGGAAGGACCACGGTCTCACAGAATACCAGAGTAAAATAGCAGCTTAATGCTGCTGTGTTTCGTATGGTGAGTGTTGAGAACCGGAGACTCTTTTTACTGGAAAAGAGGCATTCCATCTTAGTCCATACAGGTGACAACGTATCTGCAATTTGATTCTTAATAGATGTCTATGGGCCACAGTAACCATTTACCATCAGGTGGACAGTGTGCTCGTTTGTCACCCTTATCCTATTAAAAAAAAACTATACTTGCAGATAATAAATCGTATGTCGTAATGTCTCTTACATTTCATCTTAATCTTCACGGGTGACGACGCATCTGCATTTTGATTTTTTATTGAGGATAGATTTATATGTCTATGGGTCACAGCACTCACTTACCATCAGGTGGACTGTGTGCTCGTTTGCCATCCTATCCTGTAAAAAATTGTTAAAAATAAGTACAAAATATCGCATCCATCACATAATTTTACTGATTAGGATAATACTCGTAAATGAGCGGTGCCCATTTTGTTCGTTTATAAATCAGGTAAATATATCAATAGACATATTTAGTGTATTTTTCTCTTCTTAATACCGACATACTCTCGCTTGACCTTTGTATGCAAATTAGATGTGGGCGCCGCCTTAAAATTTGTCGGCGGCGGCGTGCTGTCAAATTTCAGTCGGCGGTGGCGTAGTGCCGGCGGCGTGGCTACTTTTCCTGTATTTTTTTTATAAAACACGCAATCTACTCCTCTTCACCTGGTTGGATTAAATCTCAACACGCTGCTTATTAACACCGATTAAGGTGGACGACAGGAAAATGTCAGTAGGTATATTACATACCTTGTCTAGGTTAGGTACAAAAAAAAAACAATGTTACAAATGAACGCTTACTTTAATAGCCTCAAACAATTTTTTAACATACTAATGAATTTCATTACTATCCATCTTACATATTTTATAATTATCATGAATGAATATATTATTTACCCGAATTGTAGCATTATACTTTATTGGTGGAAATAGAAAACATGTTATAATAAATAAATAAATAAAATAATTTATTTTATAAAACTTAAATTAATTAGATAGTTGATTATAGAAAATAAATAGAGCTCAAGTGAGATCTTTTCGCCGTAACGGTTAACCCGGCTACCGAGACTACCCTCTCACTAGGAGTGCTTGTGGCAGGCACGCAGATTAGAGCTTTAGCAAGAGCAGCAATATAAGGAAATACTTGTTTTTACTGTTCCAATAAGTTAATAAATCACCATATTTTGGTTCTGTAGGATCAGCACCAGCAATGTAACGTCAACATTCTTGCTCTATTGGATTACCTTGAATCCCTTGGCATGTACTAACACTATGTTTCCTCGACAGTTTATGCAAGAATGATGTGTCGGTTACATTGCTGGTGCTTGTATTGCCTGCATTTTTGCCTAAAGCTTCTGGCTCGTTATTAATATTTATAACTTCTCTGATGTACGAGGAAAGGAAGGACGTTCTGGCCATATTCGGGTTTTCTAGAAAAAAATCAATTTCTGTCGTACTCATAAAGCGGTTATCCAACAGTGCTGCTGCGACAATGGACTTTGTTACTGGGAATATTTTACTCATTTTTTTCATCATGTTGCTTTTTAAGTGTAACAATATTAGTTCTTCATCATCTTGATTGAGCTTTAATACGTCCATAATCTCAGAACGGAACACCAGAGCAACATTCATTGTGCTTGTTTTCTGAGACGACAAGATTTCGACGGCTTCGCGAAAGCTTCTCAAAAACTTTACTAAATCTTCTAAAGGAATCCACTCACTTTGAGTTATTCTAAGTTCTTCTTGGCCATTCTTCCTCAACATATTATTTATTGGTTCTCGGTTACATATGTGGATTACACTTTCTAGCATTTCTAAAATGCTGTGCCAACGAGTTGGGGTTGCGGTTTTGATTGTTTGAATAAGTTTGTAATTTTCGGGTCCTGATCCTGATGGTAAAGCCCTGTCTTCAATTTTTTTTTTGAATAGGGGGCAAACGAGCTTGCGGCTCACCTGATGGTAAGTGACTACCGCCGCCCATGAACAACCGCAACACCAGGGGAATTGCAGATGCGTTGCCGGCCTTTTAGAAAGGTGTAAGCTCTTTTCTTGAATGTTCCTAAGTCGTATCGGTTCGGAAAATTCGCTGGTGATAATTGATTCCACAAAGAAGTTGTGCGAGGGAGAAAACTTCTTCTAAATCGCACAGTGGTGGACCGCCAATCATCCAGATGGTACGGATGGTAACGCGAGTTTTGTCGCGACGTGCGATGGTGAAATTGAGCGGCTGGAATTAGTCCGAACAATTCCTCAGAGCACTCCCCGTGATAGATGCGATAAAATACGCAAAGAGATGCAACATCTCTACGCAGTGCCAGTGTATCGAGCTGATCGGAAAGAACTCGGTCGTCGACGATTCGAATCGCTCTGCGCTGGATGCGGTCAAGTGGAAGGAGCTGGCACTGGGGTGCCCCGGCCCAGAGATGAGAACAGTATTCCATGTGGGGCCGAACTTGCGCTTTGTAAAGTTGCAAGCGATGTGCCGGCTCGAAATACTGTCTCGCTCTGCTGAGCACACCAAGCTTTTTAGAGGCCAATTTGGCCTTCCCTTCCAAGTGACCACGAAACTGCACGCTAATCGATATGTCGACGCCAAGGATTCCGATACTGGCTGAGGCAGCAAGGGGAGTGCCTTGAAACTGAGGAGATACGACAAAGGGGTTCTTTTTAGCGGTAAACGCGCAAACTTGTGTCTTCTGGGGATTGAACTGGACTAGATTTAGTCGGCCCCAATCCGAGACTTTGTTAAGCAAAGACTCGACTTCAGACACAAGTTTGTCCCGGTACTCGGCGACGTTTTCCCGAGAAATATTGGCACGGCCGGTATATAAGGCATCCCCAGTGCTGTCGTCTGCATAGCAATGAATGCTACCAGTTAGCAACATATCATTGATATGCAGGAGAAACAGCGTTGGTGATAGCACGCAGCCTTGTGGAACACCAGCGTTGATAGGCTTGTAATCAGAGCATGCACCGTCTACTACGACCTTGATGCTCCGATCAGCAAGGAAACTGGTGATCCATTTGCACAATTTCTCGGGAAGCCCATAGGAAGGAAGCTTCGAAAGAAGCGCCTTGTGCCAGACCCGATCGAAGGCCTTCGCTATGTCCAAACTAACGGCCAATGCCTCCCCCTTGGACTCTACTGCCTCCGCCCATCTATGAGTTAAGTAAACTAGAAGATCACCCGCTGATCGACCCCGACGAAAACCGTACTGACGGTCACTGATCAGCTGGTGATCTTCAAGGTACCACATGAGCTGGCAGTTTATAATGGATTCCATTATTTTGTAGAACAAGGAGGTGATAGCGATAGGCCTGTAGTTGGACGGGTCTGAGCGGTCGCCTTTTTTAGGGATCGGGTGGACCAAAGCTGTCTTCCATGAATTCGGGACTACGCCTTGGGAGTAGGAGTACCGGAAAAGACGCGTTAAAACCGGTGCCAACTCCGGAGCACACGTCTTCAGCACAATGGGAGGGACTCCATCGGGCCCACTCGACTTGCTGACGTCCAGGGAGAAGAGTGCTTTGCGAACCGAGCGCTGTGTAAATCGCACATCCGGCATGGAGCACTCACATCGCGGGATGGTCGGCGGTGTGTTCCCCCCGTCATCTAGAGTCGAGTTAGACGCAAAAAGAGAGCACAACAGATCGGCTTTCTCTTTTGCGGCATGGGCCAGTGAGTCGTCCTCTCTGTGCAGAGATGGAAGGGATGGCTGACAGAAGTTCCCTTGGACAGCCTTGGCGAGAGACCAGAATGCACGGGTTCCCGAAGGAAGGCGAACTAGCTTCTCGCCAATTCTGCCGATGTGCTCAGACCTTGCCTTGGCATTGACGCTTTTGAAGGACCTGGAGGCGGAATTATACTTCTTTTTAAGTGCGCTGGTGTTTAAATCCCGAGACGTTGATGCATCAGCCCAGGCCCGGTAGCACTCCTGCTTATAGCGTGATGATATTTTACAGGAGCGACCAAACCATGGCTGGGATCTGCCTCCGATGGGCACCACAGAGGATGGAATAAAAAGTTCCATACCCTGAAGTACCACATCAGCAACAGAATCGGCAACAACGCTGGGATCTTCCGGCGAGAAGCAAACCCGCCCCCAAGGGTAGGATGCAAAAAAGACCGCATCCCGTCCCAATCAGCTGACCTATAGTGCCAAACACGGCGGCAAGCTGCAGATCGCAACTGCGATTGGAGCGTGAGTGGCACCGTGCTCCGTATCAGACAATGGTCCGAAGAGCCCAGAGGGGCATCGACGGAGACCTGATATCTGATGATGAGAGGTCAGCAGAAGGTCCAACAGGGAAGGTACATGGTCTTCCACATCTGGGATCCGCGTAGGCGAAGTAACCAGTTGTGTTAGACCATATGCCAAAGCAAAGTCGTACACAGATCTACCCGCATGATCGGTTAAACGAGAACCAAGCCATTCAGCGTGGTGGGCGTTGAAATCACCGAGTATCACGATCTCTGCGGATGGGACCTGTTGTAGCACGGAGTCTGCAGCCATTTGGACGTGGTCGATGAGTCGGTCTGTGTCGGCATTACCGCTATGGGACCTATAGAGGCACCCGTAGACGCGGGGATGATCGTCGCTGTCTACGCGCAGCCATAGGATGGACAGGTCCGTACCTTCAAGGCTGCCGAGGCGTCGAAAACAGATGTCCTCTCTGACGTATACACAAACTCCAGCCCGGGGCACAAAGAAGTGTTCCAATTTGTATTCCGGGTAGGAGAGATATGAAGTATCAGCCGGAGAGGACACCTGAGTCTCGGTTAAAAAGAGCAAGGCCGGCTTCGCCGTCTCTAGATGGTAATGGACAGCGTTAAGGTTGGAATGAAGTCCCCTGATGTTGCAAAAATTCACGGATAACGTGACAGGGGTCGCCTTGGTTGTATTGCTCCGCTTGCCCCGAGCAGCATTAGTCACGAGCGGAATTTTGCCCCTCCCCCCCAGAATACGCGGGGCAGCCTGAGCACCCACGATCAGGAGTGAAGTAGTTTGGTCGTGGATGCTCAGCGAGGGATTCTCCAGGGGTGCTGGTACCCTCCTGGGGTAGTCTTGTATTTAATTCCACTACCATGTTGATGGGGGGGAGGGGGGGAGAATTGGGCCTCCGGCCACCCGCACTCACCAAGCGCAATGCAGAGGTAAACCTCTACTTCACGCTGGTATTCTGTGAGGTCGTGGTACCACCCCGGTTCTAGCTGGCCCATCCGTGCGACAGCAAAAGCTACCGCTTAGCTCTACCACTGTTAATTTCGGTTTCTTCGGCATTTTCAATTATTAGATCAACTTCAGGAACAGGGTCGCTCTCGTCAATTTCTAAGGTTTCAACAACGCCTTCTCTTTTCTCCAAAAACTAGTTGTTGCTGTACCTTTTCGGCTTCAGCTTGCAACTCTGGGGCGCGATATCTCACAGCCTTGACGACTTTTTTGCATTTCTGAACTAGTAGTGCAATTTCTGGAACCTAGTTTATGCCGTCGACTGTCACCAGATTGTGAAACCCATGACATAGATGGTGAGTCAAATTGGCGATCCCAATTGCTCGTTTCACATTACTTCCAGCATCAGTGACTGCAACAATCGCTTTGCCGTCCAATATAAACCTCTTCTTTATGTCCTCAATAACATCGTTAATTTTTTTTTTTATAGAATAGGGGGCAAACGAGCATGCGGCTCACCTGATGGTAAGTGACTACCGCCGCCCATGAACAACACCAGGGGAATCGCAGATGCGTTGCCGGCCTTTTAGAAAGGTGTAAACTCTTTTCTTGAATGTTCCTAAGTCGTATCGGTTCGGAAAATTCGCTGGTGGTAATTGATTCCACAAAGAAGTTGTGCGAGGGAGAAAACTTCTTCTAAATCGCACAGTGGTGGACCGCCAATCATCCAGATGGTATGGATGGTAACGCGAGTTTTGTCGCGATGTACGATAGTGAAACTGAGCGGCTGGAATTAGTCCGAACAATTCCTCAGAGCACTCCCCGTGATAGATGCGATAAAATACGCAAAGAGATGCAACATCTCTACGCAGTGCCAGTGTATCGAGCCGATCGGAAAGAACTCGGTCGTCGACGATTCGAATCGCTCTGCGCTGGATGCGGTCAAGTGGAAGGAGCTGGCACTGGGGTGCCCCGGCCCAGAGATGAGAACAGTATTCCATGTGGGGCCGAACTTGCGCTTTGTAAAGTTGCAAGCGATGTGCCGGCATGAAATACTGTCTCGCTCTGCTGAGCACGCCAAGCTTTTTAGAGGCCAATTTGGCCTTCCCTTCCAAGTGACCACGAAACTGCACGCTAATCGATATGTTTAGTTAAGTTAAATCGAAAAATCACTAAAACAAACGAACGTCTTTACGCCACTCACGCCGCGCGGTGAATCAAGCGCACGCCGTGTCACCCTGTACGGCGGCGGCGGCGGCGTGCGGGGGTGACACGGCGGCGGCGCGCCGGCGCGGCGCCCACATCTAATGCAAATACGAAATATGATAAAGAGACCGTATTAATATTAAGTTCTAATTTAACAAAAAAGAAAAAGAAATGGCGTCGATGTAAGTAAACTTGTATGTAGAGACAACGATTGTCACGAGTGTTTATACAATAGGATCGGAAACACTCTATTTTTTACATCATTAGTGTATTCAAAGGTATGCCAGATCGGATTGGTGAGAATCGTGTCTTTTTTATTGTTTAAAATAATAATATTCCAATTTATGCCAGTTTTGGGTGATCCGTTTTACAAGTTGAGATGAAGTAGGAAGGCGCATTTCATGTTACGCAGGAAGAGACGAAAGGACCCCGAAC